CTGATAAAACAAACTTCTTGCGGTTCGATAATCTCATTGTGTTATTTGCATTCACCGATTTGCTCAATGTACGGTAAAGTATTGGAACTGTGATGGTTCGTATCGATACCATGCGTAATAAGTTAACAAGTAATCGATACGCGTCATGCGGTGGTGTCAAACGATCTTTCTGTCAATTGCATGTGAATACGCGAAATGGAGCGATGCCAAACGCGAGCGTGCTGCTCGTCTGACTGTACACATCAGTTACGTCAAACAGAACCGAAAATGGAATAAACAATGAAACGTAAATTACTGGGAAAATTAGTATAAACGTCGAATCGGTGAACTGACACAAGTGCACGTATCAGAGAAATTTTCCATTTTGTTGACAAAAATTCATCGTGTACGCGCGCGAGGGGCGAAACCCATAATTGATCGAGTATGAAGTTGAAAGATTAACGTGCTCGAATATCGCCTTGATTAACTTTCAAAAGCCATCAAAGTAAACGTCAACGTATGAATGGCTTGAAAATAATTAAACGTAACGTAATTTATTTCAAATTATACACTGTAGTATTTCGTGAAATAGCGTTCAAAGTAATGATTGTATATTTGATGCATTTCTGAAAATAATTATTATGTATGGAATATGTAATTGAAAGATCTTTTAACTGATGAAGTTACAAGTCTCTTTGAACTATTGAAATGGTGAAATTGTAATGATTCAGAGAAAACAGAGATTGATACATGTAACAAGCATATTTATTTTAAATATTTCTAATTTTAAACACATGATGTAGTAGTGATTTATATAAATCACAGAAGAATATTGTAAAATATTGTATGCTCTGATTTCTTCATTATGAATTATTCATTGTATAAAATGAATTGTTTATTTTCGAAGCTTATTTGATATGCCTACTATTTAAAACTTAATTGGAAAGATATATATTTATATGTATATACATTCGTCATATACAGGGTGAGTCTTATAACGTGACGACCTCAAATAAATCGTAAGGTATTTGTTGTACGACAAAATGTTTCAAACAAAAATTGCATAGTATTTAGGGGGACACACAGTGCTGTAATCTGTTTTTCATTAACTTACTTTTTTGTTGAGGTATTATGGTTACTTTCAGTTTTTTAAATGGAATATCTAATATTTTTTTTCGAATTCGGATAAATCATCAAACCTTGCGTAAAAAAGTATTACATGAAGTGAGACTTGAAATGAAAAATTACTGAGATATTTATAAAAGAAGTTTATGGGCAATAGCTGGTAAGGTTGAAGTACGACATCCTTCATTATTCAGAACTTTGTGATACCTTTTACGTTTCTCTACATTAAAATTGCCATGTTCTTTGAGTGTTCGATTAAGCCTTAAGAAAGTAGAATGCGATGGCTGATTTCGATCAGAATACTTAGCTTGGTACAAGATCTTGGCTCTTATAGCAGTTTCTTCACACGCACCATAAACAATTATCATATCGTTGTTTCACTGTTACTGAACATCGTAATAAAAATCTAGTATCTTTCTCAATACGACTTTAACATTTACTGAGATACTGAATAGGTATTTCGTGTTGATGATTATTAATATTTAACAGGGAACTTGTTTACAGACATGACCTACCGACGAGAGTAAAGTCGTGCTAAGAATCACGTTGACTAATCGTATTTTCTAATAGAAGATTATTAATTTCAAGATATCTCATTAATTTTTCATTTGAAGTCCCAGTTCATGTAATACTTTTTTACGCAAGGTTTGATGATTTATCCGAATTCGAACAAAAATATTAGACATTCCATTTAAAAAACTGAAGGTGACCCTAATATCTCAATAAAAAAGTAAGGTAATAAAAAACAGATTAAAGCACTGTATGTCCCTCTAGATACCATGCAACTTTTGTTTGAAACATTTCGTCGTACAACGAATACCTTACGAGTTATTAGAGGTCGTCACGTTATAAGACTCACCCTGTATATTTCAGGTAAATCAATATTTCGATTACTTACAAATACCGTCATGAAGAATTGAACATGAAAATATTATTTCAAATAGTTATTTCTTATGTTCGCTTGAAATAAAATGTGATAAAGAATGATGACTGGTATTGTTTAGATATCGAGTAGAGTTATTTACGCTACAATTGCCAGATAATGTACCTTAATTCTCCTAGCGGGAAACATGAGGGAAAAGCTGTACATGTGTTAACAAAATTAGAAAGTTTCGGGGACGCTTGAAGTTTTGCATGTGCTGAATAAGACCCTCATTGACATCAAAGTATTTTGGAACGTCGAAACGTTACGTTCGCCATGTGAAACATGATTTTTACGCTTACGTCCTCGCAAACATCGTGCCCTTTTTAAAATCCAGACGCGAAGGTGTTCACTTCCGCTGCCACGATTCGCATTTATTTAACATTGGGAAAGAGAAAAGGGTTCTTTTCATTCGCAAGATGAAAATTTTTATTCGTTCGCTACGTTTTCGTAAAATATTTCTCACGATGCCTGTTCCGCTTTAATTAAATATTCTCGTTGATTCTACGGGATGTTCATAAATTTTCGGTTTCTTTTTATGAAATATTTCAAATGTTTCGACTTTACATTTCTATACATATTTGCTTGGAGGGTGTGAATTCAATTTGGAACCAAAATTGAGTCTCTCTCGTAAACATTCATTGAATTTTTTTGTATTGAACGTTTCGACCTTACTTTTGAGTTCTCTTCGGTATGTAGTGGTATTAAACACAACATATGTAGATCTATACAAATTAACAAAAAATTTTGGTTTCTTCATTATGAATATTCATTGTGCACGAAGTAAGGAGGCGAGAAGAGACAGAACAATTGATCGACGATAGTGAACAATAGCAAAGTATGTTGACGCAGTGAGATTGATGAATAAATTTAAACAAACGATTTTGTGTTATCGACTTTATATCAATTAGACAAAGATTAAAATAAATGAAAAATTTATGTGAACGAATAAGAACTACTGAAGAATACCTCAAGATGTGATTAGAAATTCTGCAGAACACTTCGAGCTCTAAAAAACCAAAGACAGAAGTTACAGAATTTTTTATAGAAATACGACGAATGAAGCTCGATTGCATTTGACCCACCCTATAAATTAAATTACAATGTCGGATTTCAAATTGCGGTCTGGAGAACTCTATTACAAGAAAGGACAAATGCGCTCGCGAAGCGGAAAAACCAGGAATTCGAAGGAGAGTAAATTCAATAACTTGATCGGATATTTTGATATCTCGAACTAGTATCGAAGAATCTTTACGGATCAGTCGCTCATGGTCTGTCCTTTCCCAACTGTTATGGGTCTCGCAATTTGTCAAAATCATTTAAGCAATAAAACAGGAGAAATCGAGAACAACCTTCTTCTTTTGTCGACTGAATGGTGGACGATTTTATTTTCTGAAAAAGGACAAAGAAGAGAAGAGCGCAGAAAATATTCTTCCAGCGACTATTTCAACAAAAGCTACGAAGAATTCGTATTTTTTGCCTGTTTCCAAAAATAACGTAAAATATATGTGTACTTCACACAGTATATCCCGTTTGTACATTTTCTTATAGGACAAATTTATCAACTTGATGATACATCTTTTGATTGTACGTTTCAGTATCTTTTTTTCATTTCTATTGACAAATTTTATATAACGACTTTATTGGCCATATTAAAAAAAAAAAAAATATGAGTGCAAGACTTGCTTCGAAACAGAGTGAAACACCAATTTTAAGGAACGAAAGAGTTGTACAAACTGACTCAGCTAATCATTCTAAATAAGATTGCTTTGTCCAATACAGGGCGTCCCAAAAATGTTATAACTTCTTGAAAGGGGTGGTTCAGGGGGTGATTTGTTTTATCCTATTTATTACTTATACTTTTATTTATTTCATAAATTAAATAGATATTTTCTTTATACTTTAGGTAGGAGGAATTATTACAGTTACTTTAAGAAGCATTTAGCCTAATTTAAATATTATTTACAATTTTATCATTTTTGTAAAACAATATCTACATATCTTTTTAATAAATTTCTTTTAAATAAAACTGATAAACTCTTGGCCACTATAAAAACATTTTATAAATAATGCAGTAGATACTTTAAATTTATGAAATTGGTGAAACAGTCTGCGCGAAATTTTTTGCAGTATTGATAAGCAATGATACATGACATCAACAATTCATCGACAGACATCCTCAACAAAAAATATAGAAAAACAAACGAAGGGACGTGTGTTCGTTTAAAACAATGAATGCACTGAATAATTCAGACTTCGTTTTAAATGAAATTGATTAATATACCATATTACATATAGCTTGGCGAAATTTATTGGAATTGGGAATTTATTGCGATCCTATGGAAAATAAATATCGCTAGACATTCAAAAATTCATGACAATAAAATTCAAGCTGCATAAATATATTCCAGAGTTCAAAAGTGCATCTAACAATGAGTGAAGAAAAATCAAGAAAATTGACGAATAAATAATTACTTCTCCTTAGTAATTTTGTAAAAATTCAGTCAAACAAATTTTATTTAGAATATTAGTAGTAGAATATATTGTACCCTACATTACACTATTATGAAACTACAGTAATATTGATCAATTTCGTCTTTCCTAAAGATCATTAACTTTATTTCTAAATGTCAAATTAAAGAAATTGTTTAATCAGAGTGTTGCTCTCAATTATAAAAAGAATATTTGTCTTATTCTTGAAGCAGATCAGCTTTGTTCCTAAACGACAAGTTAAAGGGACTATTTTAACCAGAATGTGCTCATAATTATTAAGAAGATGAAATTGTTTATCCTTAACTTTTTTCAATTTTGTATATTCCGTGCAATGGAATATCGTAAATTGTAAAATATATAAGATGTAAAGTAAAATTTAGAGAATGAAATTCATTCAGGATTTATCGATCAAGAGTGTCACTTGCTATGTTTCTTTTTATCGAATTAATCATCGTTTGCAGATTAATTGCTTTACTTCCAGCAACAAAACTGAATGTAGCAACGCAGTGGCTTTGGTTAAACGGGAATGCGAGGACATTTTGAAAATGACACGCGAAACTACAGAGAAACAGTTTCACGAACTACTCGAGCTGTACAACAAAACTAAAGAGAAGGTATACTATAAGCTTTATTAAAATTTGTATTCCAATGGTCGCGAATATAACGGAAGTACCTTACACAAAGTCACTCGACATTACCATTTCAAACTACATTTACTATAATATCTGCAGAAAAATGTTAGGTACCTGTTAATACAATAATACGAACAAAATGAACAATGCATGATACAAATTAGGATGCAAAATATGAACATTTAAAATCTAATCTCGTAATACATTAAATTTCATGATATAAAATGACTCTAAGAACATCAAAAATATATCCAGGATGCAAAAGAAATTGCTATTACAATGTAGGCTATATATAAAATTAACATTAACCGTTTAACCGTTTAATTCATTAAACTCACAAAGTATATTGAATAAATTGCTACTTTTTCTTATGTTTAAAATTACTGTACTGCAAATGCTTCGTCAAATTACTTAATTAAATATATGTTTGATGCGTGTTTTTGTTTTGATAGTATATGGAAGAAAACCGTTATTAACAATAATATAACAGTACGCTATACTTTACATACGACATAAATATAAATGATAAATAACTCATTGTGTATATTATACTGTATTTTCATTCAAAGAACAAAGAAGAACGCCCTTAATATCTCTGTTTCTATATTGCCTCATTATTCTCGATGGAGATAAAACTTCTTCGTCGCAAGATCTCTAAAGTTTAAACTTTCATCTTGTATTACGACAAACAGATGGAAGAACAAAGAATATTCGAATTTCCTTTGGTAGCTCGGACAGTGGTTCAAAAAGTTTCAGATGCAATAGCGATGCTACATGCATCGTAAACCAACATCAAAGCGCTTTTTTTAATTGATATGCATTCACTCTGACGTTGTAGCCAGCCTTTTTTACAGACACTGGATTGAAAAAAGTCCGTCCTTTGAAACTTCGCCTTTCTGACACGCGAAATCGAACTTGTTACCTTTCCGTTGCCTTTTGAATATTCAACGTCCGAGCAATCCCAAACGGTCCCAGATGTACGGCCCTCTACGTTCCCAAACCGCGAATTTTATTCTTGTTTCCTTCCCATAAATGGTCGCCACTCTATTGTTAAATCCAGTGAAAATCCATTTCTGTTCCACAGAATGACTGGTCCTTTTGGACAAATTCTATCGATGTATTCTACGAGTAAAAGATATAAAAAAGAAATACTTCACGTCAACGTCGACGAACAACGACATTGTTTTAGTGATACAGCACTATATTATGCATCCAAAATATTCATTATGATATGAAAATGCGAAAATGTATGTAGAAGTTTGTAGATACTTCGATAAAAAAATCTATATTTGCATTTCACAGACAAATTTGCTTTTGTCAAGCAACTTGTACAAGTGTCTTTAATGAGAACATTCGTACGAGGAAGAGAATTCTGTTGGCAAGAATTTCGAGCCACTATAGAATGAGTTTTCTTTGTAATCGAGTGGATATCAGTCATACGTCTTTTGCAGTTTCTGGAGGGTGTATGACACGCCTACCTTTATTCCTCGTAGAGAAAAGGGAAAACAAGAAGGGATCACGTAGTTGTAGTTATCAAGTATTAATTGATGGTCTTTAAAACTGTTTCTGAATGAATAATTCAAACATTTCAAAATGTTGCAACTCTCTCTAGAAACAGTATTTAAGAATAAGAATCATTTGTAACAATAAGGATCAATTACTTTATACAATTTTTTCTCTTGATTACATAATAAATTTAATTTTTTATTAATTCAAAGTATTAAAATTTTCTCCAGAAACAGTTTCTTTATTTTTGCTGTATACAAGTAAACAATTTTTTACATTCTATACAATTCGTCCTCTTAATTTTGAACTTGGTCAAATTTTCTCCATCACATAGTAAATTGAATTTTACCCCGATTAATTTAATATTATATTAATTACTACGTTTACACCAATTCTCAAAACAAGTATTTGATCGATACTACCAAATCGTTGCACAAAGTTCTCTATTAATAAAAAAATAATTAATAAATGCCACCACTATAAATCTCCATTCCACACAACGTTTCGTATCAGGGGAAAATATTTCTTTTAGTCCGTTAATCCAGCAAACATTGCTCACCACACTATTCAATTAAGTTCGCGTTATGTTTCATGCAGATCGATAGGTTTCTTTCTCGCGTAACAGCTAGCGCTGTGTTTCACGAGCGCGTGATTAATAGTAAAAGTGTCGCACTAATCCCCGAACTTTTCCCCTCAGCTATTCTCTTTTCCTCGTATCGATCTCTCTTTTTGTTCTTTCCGTGACGCGTTGCTCGCGGCAATTTTCTACCACGGGACGCCATGAACTGAACGCGGCACGTATAAAACGAAGTTAACGCCAAAGTTTTACGACCGGCCGCATTAACGAGTCCCAGATCTGCCACGGACACATCCACTGGACGTAGTATCACCATCATTTTAGATGAGATGCAAACCCTGTATCGAGGGAGGAACGTGGGGTTGAGATGTAGAGGCTCTTAAAACGTTAATTGTTTACTGCTTAGCTTCACCAAGCCATAAAGGCGTTCAGTTGAGAGAAAACAATGCGTACTGCAGTAGATATTGCTACTAACTCGACACCACATACCACATTGCAAGGAAGCTATTCCAGTTGTTTAACGGGGTAAATTACTGTTTCAGCACATTATCTTGACGCTTTAAATGACTAACGCGTGTTTCAATGTAATATTTATTTATGATTTTCACGTGTAGCAAGATGTCTGGTGGAAATGTAATTTATCGGGTGACCAGTGTAATTTAGGAATTTTCCATTAAAAATGTAGATTTTCCACGAATTTTTAAAACCTCCATTGATGAAATAGATTATTAAATAAAATATCTTCAGATTGTCTAACAAGAGAATTTACTTTGTTGACGATGATAGCAAATTTAATTTTCCTCGGAATTTCTTCTATCCTGATATCATCCTCTTCAGAATTAATTAATTATACATTCTCTGCTTGCACTATAATTTGCATTAGAGTATAAACACCATGATTCCAATTAATTTGCAATTTGCATCATAGTATAAACGCGATGTCTATAATTAAATAATCCTGAAGAAGATCCGATGTGGGGACGAGGCCTCAAATAAATACTAAATATATTCAGGAAAGAATAATATCTGAATAATTACTTCCATAGGTAATTACTTATTATTTGAAGTTTCAAATAATAGAAGAAATAATTTAAAAAAAAAATCTAATAAATAAATAATTCTTTACTTATTTAATGGTTACCCAACAGTTGTTTTCATCTTTTAAGCAATTTACCTGCTTACTGACATTGCTTCATTACAATTAAAAGAATAATTCATACAAAACACCAACTGACCTCAAGATATAATGTACATTATCAAGCTTTGTACAAATCACAGAAATAAATACATCACAGGAGTAACATATTATTCATTGATACAATCGTTTGAACGATAACTGTACAATGCGTAAGATTTCTGAACAACTTCTGGTACGACTATATTAAATGGTACTATGACGTTGCTATTCGACTATAATTGCAACTCGAAGTACGACTCGTAGTAGAATAAATCTTCGTGTCTATGGCCGCTATAAGTCTCGTGTCGTTTTAAAATATTGTTTGTAGGAGCCATAGCCATAACAGTTTATTCTACGATGAATCGTATTGTCGATGTCTCGAAACGTATTTATTTTCCAGTTTAATTTTCTGGAAAGGTATCATGAAACGTGTTGGTATCTTGTAAGTACTTATAAGACTCTAAAATCGATAGAAATGTTTAAAAAAAAAAATTTAAAAAGAGATATAGAATATACTAAAAGAACACATAGAATATTCTTAGCGATTACTGAAACATTTAAATTTAAATATTTAAACATTTTCTCTAAACTTTTACTATAACGAATTCAAAGGAATCCTACAATACATTAAAATACCATAAATAATAACAAATATAAATTATTCAAAACTTGTTCGACCTGATATCATATTTAAAATGAATTAAAGTTATAAAAATTAATATTCACAAGTACAGAGTGTCATCACCTATATAATGTTCCTTCACATTTTTATAGTGTTTATGTTGAAATTATTAGGTTGTCCCGAAAGTTTCTTTCGCGAGTTGCACTCAAGTATTTTACGTGGTCGTGTTTATATAAATAGACAATATAATTTCATATATATTCATGTTGTAATAGTAATGGAGCAAAATGAATCGTGCACAATTCAGTAATGAAACTTTTGGGACAACCTAATACTAACAATTTAAATACCCAAGAATAAAATTCAATTGTTTTAATAGGCAACTCGATTAGAGGAAGAGATAGAAGCGTATCAAATCTCTCAGCGTAAGCACGAAAACCGAAGTTTCGAGCTGGCAAATCTACTTGAAACTTTAAAACGTTTTGACGTAGATGTCGACGCGCTCTGTCAACTCGTGGCAGAAGGTAAGTATTACCCACCACTGTGAAGATTCCTTCACATAAGTCTTATGTTTCTACTTGGAGTAGCTCTGAAGAACTTGACCGAACCAGGAAACTTATTCGAGAATGGCATGAAGAATCTGAGGCAGCTCACTTGGATCGCGAAAGACAAAAAGGATGAATCGGAACTTACATTATTAAGGGAACAAAATTCCGTTCTGAAAGAAGTGGTAAAGAATCTTAAAAGGAAGGTTAGCGTATTTGACTTTTGTTTAAAAGAGAAATTCTAGGCAAAGGTATTTACTATTGGTTATATCCAAAAAAGTTGAATTGTTACTTGGTACAAAATAGTTATAATATGGATCCTCTGTGTATTCTTATTAAAGTCGTTCCTACCATTTATATTTATAGTCCTTTTCAATTTAACAAATTGTTTAAGCATCATACAAAAAAGAAATTGCATATCGCGAGAAATGTTACATAAAATCATTTTTGAGAGTACACTTTATTTTAAATTCAAAATACAAGGTTTTCTACAAAGGGCTCTCTAAATTTTAATTCCAAAACAAAACTCTGAAGTTCTTTCTGAAAAATCCTGTATGGAAAAAAGAGGATTTTAATGAAGTTATTTGAATTAATCTGAAATGTGATTGCAAATATCCTTATGTCTTAAATTATTTCATAAATATAAATGGTCAAAAGTTCTTGCATTTTTATGACTATTTTATATTTTTTATAATCACAGAAATTGAAACAAATGAATATATTACAAAACCTATGAATAACCTGTTCAATGTATCAGTGCTTGCTCAGAGTTTGTAATTAATCGTATAATTTTCCTCGTATATTGTACACGGAAATAGTTGGCCCTACAAATAAAAAAAAAAAATGTTGAACGAAATTCAAAGTATTTCACTCGCATGGGTTCAATGTTCAAACTTTCACGTTAATTACTACGTAATTATTACCTCAGATATTGGATCTCACGTGTTAGGGAAAAAACCGTTTTTCGATATTCCGTCCCATTTTCTAATATTCTATTAAACATCTTTTTTTATTGCTATTGCATACAGTAAAAATACGTTCAAAAACGTTTTGTCAATATTCAGGAGGAATATATTTAGAGCACCATGAGAAGACGTTACACATAACAATTGTATGGAATTGGTTTTATTGCATATTGTAATTAAAAACGACAGTATAACACGATCAATTTTAAGATATGAACGGAATCATAGATGTGAAGGTTTATGAATACATTTGTGGCGTTATTATTGAAAATACGAGCCACGAAATTATATTATCAAAGAATTACGCCTCCTACTAGCGTGCACTAAAATCCCTCTTAACGTATAAATTTTACGACGCACCACTTACTGGATGCATAGTCGTAAATAGACAAGTCCACCCCGCCAAAAAACGCAATAACGTTATAGTTTTATCGAAATTGATATTGCGCACGCGGTCGGTTATGTTTACAGTTACCTACAGTATTTATTTACTTTCTTCCCTAGAACAGGATTTTGAAAACTTTACTTGCTCTATGCACGTTTGATAAAAGAGTAAGAACTAAATTAATATCTCTGAAAAGTTAGTAATATACATTGTTTAAGCAAATAAGAAAAATATTATAGTTTGTTAGACAAATGGTAAAATATTTTTGTTTGATATTTTACATACTAAGGGATTTATTTAAAAAAACGACAAAGATATTTGTTAAAGAAGATGTTATTTAATTTATATATGAGAAGAAACATTGAGATTGACAGACAGAAGAACGAACAAAAATACTGAAAACATATTCTTTAATATCGATTGAATAAACTCAAAGATATTGATAATTTTTGGAAAAATCCAATCATAGATATACCTTTATAAATACCCATATAGATTTAATAATAATATCATTACAAATTGTTCTATAACATTTATCAAAATGTTTCAGGCGCAGCAACGACTGCGCAGCGAAATTCTCGAGCGGGAGAAAAAAGAACGGAATGGTTTCGCTTCTCGAGAAACAAAAACTATTAATGACGATTTACTGGAAAACTGTGTTCCGACTCTTAATAACTCGATCGACACCGTAACACAGGAAAATCATAACAATGTCATCGAAAAACAGGATGCATGTAACGACGACGAAACAATTCAAATTGTCACACGCGCGAAGAATAATCGAAGGAAGGAATTCGATAGCGAGGACAAGATAATCGATAAATGTGGAAGGGTAATATGTATCGAATCGCACTCTAACGGACTATTCTATGAGGAGTACATCTTCAAATTGTCGGTTAATCGTGAAATCAAACTTAAATATCCAGTTTTATTAAATAATAACGAAACAGTGGTGAAAATGGAATTTGTGGACGACGAGGCCGAATACGAGGGAGCACCACTGGACAGGATCCTGATATTTTTCAAAAATATACATGTATCGGTGAACGTTAAACAAACTGGCGTACCCTGTGGAACTCAAACGACGAGAATGAAAACTTCAAGTAACGTGGCACAAACGACATTAACTGGAATAAATTCATTTTCTCGTTTAAACGTTGGAGTTGGGGTGAGTAAACAAATTTTTGACGTTTTCTTTTGTTTTCCTCGTTTGAAAACTCATCTATTCGCGAAGAACAGACTAATAGAATGTTCGATTGACTTTCATGAGGCATCGAAAATTTATTCTTCAAAGATCAATTCAAATGGCGAAACTTTCTTCTCGTCTTTTGCTTGAAAACTTTGCTTATTATTATTATTAATTAAAAATTTCGATTATCAATCGTGGTCACTTCTGAACTACAGTAGAGATGGGCCAATTTGAATCGAATTACATATAACGGATAAAATCAATGAATAAACGGTTATTTATCTTAAACTTGATATTTGTAATTATTATCAAAATAAATATTTTACCTACCTCTGGGACAGTAATATTGCAAAAACTCCAGTACCATTTTTAAAATAAAAATAAAAAAACTTGAGTAGAAATTAAATTTATTCTTGCAAGGCTGTTTATTAATAGTTCATAAATATGATTTTTTCTTGCAATTTATCATTATGTTTCTGAACAGAAAAGTAGTTTATAAATGTAGCAATGTAAATGTAAAGTAAAAATCCAATCTACAACTTCTTTTAACTGGTTGAGGCCTTGTGGTAAAGATGGACAAAATGCTTACTAGACACAAATTTTGAATAACAAATAAAAAATAAATACCTTTTGGTCTGTTATTTGTTACAAACAAATTATGTCATAAATAGATAAAAGCTTATCCGAATAATTGTATTTGTATAAATGTTGCAAATGAATTGCTATAGTTTCTATTCGTTGTTTGTTATTCGAATTAAATTTTGCCCACCTCTGGCCCGTAAGGCTCACGCCTTAACTTGTCCCTGCTTGTGACTATTGAAACAAATACATTGGCTCTGCTAAACACAATTCTTTATATACTTGTATTTTGTACAGTGCCATTGCAAAACGTACATTGATTTCACCAGAATGGTCGGTACAAAATGTAGACTTTGATTTGTTGAATCAAACAGATGCTTAATAGCGAAAAACGTGCGATAGAGAGAAGTCTATCTAATTTGGAAGATATTGTCAAGACTCTAAAATGCAATGCATTAGATCAAGCTCGAGCCATGATTAGTAAGAAATCACAGTTCCTTGAAAATGGTGAATTCCTTGAATGTATAAGGTTACTGAGTCGATAACTGTGCATTGCAATGTCTACCATTTTCTGAAGTGCATGAATATATATGTATAATATTACAATATTTGTAACACATAACAGTATCGAACTAGATTTGTCGTTATAATCGTAATAATACTCTTGCTATTTACTTGTACATAAAAAAATACCGCTAGGAGCAATTGGTATAGACGACCATGTATTTAAAAAGACATTAGTCATTATTGTTTATCATTAAAAATGTTATCAGATGAATCTTATAGGATAGCTATACACGCAGAGATGTACATTATTTACGTATATATATATAGGTGTACATAGTCATATATTTGATCGTATTTAAAATCTTAATAATTATCACACTATTCTGAGTAAGAATTGAACATTTTTTTGTTTTTGTCAAATATAGAGGTGCAAACTACTATTATCTTCTCATACATCAGTAAATTTTCTTCTAAACAATCTTAAAACACACTTATTTCGTTAAATTGAAGTGCGTTCTCATTATAGATGTGTGAGTGGAAAATTTATTAAAAATGTGAAATGCAATGCGTGGAAAAATACATATATGTGTAAACTTTAAAAGGTAAATCCTTCAGTTCATCCGTCATATAATCCTTTAGATCGAGGTATATAGAATTAGTGTACAATTCGTCTACTTTCGATTCTGCATTCTGTATCCAAGTTTTAATTACAAAGAGATAAAAAGACGAATAATTATTCTACGTTTCTCTTTAAGTAACAATCAAAGTTTGATTTGTAATAAACTATCTCTTAGAATTACACTTACTTCTTTTGGCAAATAAAATAAATAGTTTCAGCATGCTCTATATATCTTAATTATTTATGCGTTGATTCTCAAATCTTAGAAAGACAATATCAGAAACAGGCAAAGGCTTAGATTCAATCTTTGTGTAAAATACTTTTAAAAAACACGATGTTTAAAAAGGTCCAGGAAAAGGCGATATTACGTTAAAATACGATAAAAGGTTGGAGGAATGTTATTACATACTAATACATATGCTTTCGTAACCCTGCTCTTTCCCATTCTTTTTCTGCCATCTTCTTTGTTTCTTCGCTAATATCCTACCTTTGTTATAAAAAAGATTCAAAACTGATTGCTAGATACTTATTTATACCTATGCTATCCTCCTCTCATCACTTACTTTTGAGTATACAATAAATTGTTTCTAGAAAAGGAAAGAATTTTTTCGGCAGCACTGAATTTATCTTTTCTGTTTCTTATGTCTGTTTGAGAATGTTCGATTATAGTCGATGTGGTGGGCCTGGCACTAGGAGTTTGCATTCCTAGTAATACTTTGAACGACACGTTGTCCCCACCAGGCTTCAAGATTGAATGGCTCAAAATCTGTAAGTGTAACAGAAATATTAATAATCTTCAATTAGAATATGTTCTAAGACAGAACAAATAATACAACAGTGATTTACCTTTCAACTGTGGATTTGGTTCTCGTTCTTGATAATATGTGACAGATGCACCATTCCTATAATTTGAAGAATTACTGTGTGGTTGATTGTGACACATATCCAGCTCTCTAGATACTGTATTCCAGGCTGTAACAATGATAGCTTAATATAAAACATGTTCCACTTGAAGAAATTTAATTTCTACAGATTAAAAACTGCTAACTTGTACTCACAATCACAAATGTATTTAATTAGATCAAAGTGTTGAGCTAATGTTTCAGGTTGATGTCGTGGTGGAATCGAGGATGGTCTCTTTCCATTCATCGCCGTCATTTGTGATCTACCGCTACAAATAAAACATACAAATAAAATCACTAAAATATGTGTATACATATTCAAACTGCAATTAATATTTAATATGTTTACCATATTAAAAGCGACGACAGTTAACTAATGTAACATAACATAGTTCGTTGGATCTATTTTAAGATTTAACGATCTTTTATGACAATTAAAATAACCATAATTACGAGATACATATTCAACGATAAATTAAGTACGTTGACATTTCGCGTAATTAGTTAAATATTAATCTTGAAAGGTTAATGGATGTGTATAGCATTCGAACGCGAGATTCAAAACAAAAATATTTATTATAATTTGTTGACATATGTTAACATAATTCTTAGAATCCCTGCAGCAGAAGAGAATGGACGCCATTTGATCAAAACCGTAACTAAATCATAACCTTTCTTTTTACAGATTAACGTTACATTTAACGTACATAACAAAATAATAAATTATAAGTGCGTTGGAACAAAACTGTAACTAGAAGAAAGTCCACATATTTATACTAATTAATTAATAAATTAATCAATTAGTTCGTACTACCCAAGGGTCTCTATGCGTTTGGTTAGAAGCCACGTATATTATATATAGAATACGTGATTGACGTATATTACAGGAACATTTTTATTTGACGAAAGCAAGAAAACGCAACATTGCAAAATTACTGTTGGATGCGTGAAGCGTGTGGTACGATTAGAAAATGCGTCAAGTGTCAAGAAAAATGCGAAATAATTAATACTATAGAGCCTACTTTCGAAGAGAAAACGGTGAAAAAGATGGCGGTTCCTGCATGACAGTTAAAGCGCTGCTTTTTGGTTCCCGCCTGTTCCTTCCTCCATCCATTGAATACTGTTGCTTCTGTAATTCTCACGGCAACGGAACGACTGGCAACGTGCCAAAAGTAAACACGAGATTTCGTAGGGGGAGAACAATTTCACGCACGACGAAGATCAGAAAGGAACGGATTGAACGCACAGACGCGGGAATGTAGAGTGCAACTTTCATGATAAATACCTCATTTTCACCGTTCTTCGTTGAACCACTTCGCCACCGGTCCACCGTCGAGACTGCAGCTTCGCGATGCAATTTTGTACTATATTTATACGAAGAGGCGCGCAAGTGTACCGTGGGAAATAAAAGCCGCGAACCTGTGACAAGACAGAGCGTTTGTTTCTCACAACAGCTGCAGGAAGCTTTTCCCAAGAAGAACTGTCAACAATAATGACTTGAACATAAGGCTCGGACGGTAATGTTGGAAAACAATGACGACAGTTCCGTAGGTATTCGTTTCGATATCTTGTTGAAGAGTTTCGACGCATGGTGGCGTATCTTCACCGTTCTTGCGGTAGTCACCGGGCACATAGCCACCATTTTGTGTTAAGTAAGGGAGCGTAATTCAAAATGCCACAGAAGCATTGAACGAAGTATGAGCTGTTTATAGTGAATGTAGTGTATATGAAAGAACTCTGTGGAAGTGGTTTGCGAGGTTTAAAGTGACTCCACTACTGATGATGATCATACAAGTTACTAATCAAAAATACCCATGCTAGACAACACGCGAAGTGGCAGAAATATTAAAAATATCAAAAACCACCATCTACAAGCTTGTTTATGTAAACCATTATTCAGAACTACTAAATATGTTACACCTCCTCGCCCCTCTTTTTCCCATATTCACCAGACAATGCAAACGAGGCATTTAGGATAATAAAGGTTTATTGGCATGAATTTATTCGTATTTATAAATATATAATTCCTCCTTGAAGCTTTCTTTGTAAACGATTAGATTAGATGAATATTCAGTACTATACATATGGTGAATTTTAAATCACTATCACTATTTTTAAAGGTAGATTATAATACGAAAACATTGATTCTTCACGAGTAGTTCAGTTTATGAAAATCAAATTTTCATTGAATGATACGTCTTCCTTTGGTTGATAAATTAGGTACTTGATGGACCAAATGATACCCCTAAATCTTACTCATTTAGAAAAAACTCCCCGGCGCACAGTGGAGCGACGCTGTATAAATGTTGGACATTAAGGCAAAAAATAAACATACAAATTTTAAAACCATAATACATTTTAATGTATGTTTAAACCTGTGACAATTATGTTTCATAGTATTATTACGTTTTGCTTCACTATTTACCTCATGACATCTGAAATTAGTTACATTGATCTATTTATCTTTTCTGTAATTTACATTGTAATTCTTGTATTATATGACTTTACCAAAAGAATGTGTGCAATATCTATTGTTGGGATTGTGATAATTCTAAAATGATCAGAAAGATGATTTAAATGTACAACAGAACTTTGTTACATTTGATTATAGAGGTTATAAATGTTTCTTAAATTTTGACAAAGAAGCAACTAAAAGCAAAAACTACGTGAACGGCTACAGCCTACATACTTCCTAAAAACAAATGGTGCAAAGTTTTGTCTGGGCGAATTTAGGCGATTTTTATAATTGAATAAAACATTTATAACGTCTACAATCAAATATAACAAAGTTCTGTTGTACATTTAAATCATCTTTCTGTTTATTTTAGAATTATTACAATCCCAACATTAGATATTGCACACATTCTTTTGGTAAAGTCATATAATACAAGAATTACAATGTAAATTAAAGAAAAGATAAATAGATCAACGTAACTAATTTCAGATATCATGAGGTAAATAATGAAGCAAAACGTAATAATACTATGAAACATAATCGTCAAAGATTTAAAGATTCATTAAAATGTATTTAGGTTTTAAAATTTGTATGTTTATTTTTTGCCTCAATGTCCAACATTTATATAGTGTCGTCCCACTGTACGGCGTCATCTACAATGCGTACTTTCAGGAACTCTTTGTTGGTTCAGGAACTAGTACATCTTCTCGAGTAACAACAATCACTTTGGATAGTTTATCTGACAATTATTACAAAATTTCTACGTATATTCTCAGTAACTAAAAATATCTAAGCTGCATCCATTTCCATAGTTTTGCGTTAAAATTGATGGGAGTTCGCTAATTTTAGCAATGTAGGAGTAAATTGAACTAGGAATGTTTCGGCAAGGTGTTAGAGTACATGAATTGAAACTAAGAATATTTTCGAAGTTACAACTACCGTAGTGTAACTTCCTAAGATTTTCCAAGTCCCATCTATTCTCATACCCTACTCCACTATTATACCTATTCTAACGGGGGATTAGCACACAATACTTTGACGATTAGTATTTGTTTCCTTGTATCATAGTTTAGGGAATTATTAGGTATCATTAGATTTGATTCTGAATTACTTTCTTCTAACTTTTTCTTTGCAAATATTTTGCTCGATTAAACAGAATAATTTATTCGAAATCGTTAGTTTTCGAAGTTATTATTCAGTATCGTTTAAAGAGTACTATTTTTTACAAATAAGAATTATAATCAAGTAAAAGAGAATATAACGTCAACAAGTCTGTCTGATTTACCAATAAATTATTTTATATTAATTTATACATTATTAAGTATTAATGAATCTGTATGTATAAATTTGGATGGAAATGTGTAATCACTAATCAGGTAAAGGATGATTACATGTTTGTTTAATAATTAACTCGAGGTAATTTTTCAGATAGTAAAATTAGGTCGATCGATTAAAATTTATCGATTAAAAAGAGGAATAAAATTTTAACAAAATTACACGGTTCGAGAGAAGTCCGCTTTCGTGTGTCATTCATTTAAAAGATGCATCCATTGATAATGAAAATGACCCCTATTTGCGGTGCAGATATAATCGAGAAGTCACGAAAATGCTGACTTCTAGAATAATACGAGCAGCTAATGATACGTCGCATTGGAAACATTGGAAATTTAAAATTTCATCTAAAATTATATGCGTGTAATTTGTTACATTACCACTGTAAGGTCGTGCAATACAGAATGTTCTAGTAGTATAAAAAAACAGGTCACCATAATATTTTTACTATTTCGTCTAGTTTTTTGATAATAGAAGTCTATGAAATGCACATTGATAATATTTATCTTGAAATGAATAATTGTTGAGTTACTCGTAAAAGCTGATAAAGTGAAAGATTTATTCGGTACATTTAAGTACAAAGTTAGGAAAAAGGCAATAAATAGGGTAACGATAACGAACAACAGAAAACATGTAAAGTACACCTTCCAGGCATCTAGATGTATACGCATAAGAAAGTTTTGAGCCACGTCAACCTAGTATCTTGGGCAGCTTTAGCTGACCTTAAATAGCCTAGAATAAGCGTCGATTTAGGGTGAGAACTGTGTAAGGTAATAAGTACAATTTGCTTACAAACAACTTTGAAATAGAAGTTTCTGTAAGTATCGTGCTACTGCATTCTGTGAGCTGCAAAGTTTTGATCGAGAATAATTAATTAGCTTCAGAAGAATATATTTATATCTATGTGGGGAGTATCCATTCATAAAACACATAAAAATAGGATACATAATGTAAAGTATATTCAGAGGTACGATTTTTGCAACTTTAATTCAGAAATCAGTATTCGCTCAAAATTGAGTGGATATATGCTAATTTGAGTTAATTGCAAAATACAAATTTTGAAGAGAAAATTTTGAACGTTATTTATTTTAATTTCCATATGACTTTCGAACCATATTTTGGCAATTCTTTTCAAGGACAGTACTAAAATAATGACAATAATATAGAACGTAAGAAAATATTCGCAAACAATAATATAGAAAAATGAATGAAAAACGGAAGGGAATAATGTAAACAAGGAGAACTGTATTTAAGATGTACGGAGAACGTTGTATTTATTAAAACAAAGGAAATGAAAAGCACAGAAAAAGAAAAAGAAATGAAGAGGTAAAAGAGGAAAAATGAAAAGTATAATAGAAAAACACAAGGGACTTACCATTTCATTATAATTGAAAGAAGAGTCGAGAATCTTCGTGGTGAGAGTAAAAGAATAAAATAAAAATTTAATTTGCACAGCTTTCGTGTTGGGAGTGTGAAAATATGACGCTCTTCAGTTCTTTTGCTTTATTTTTTTATTTACAACAGTAAGCCTCCCAGGTCACCAAAATATAGGTCGGACGAGGAATAATAAATCTTGTGTACAAACCAAACTGAGATCTTTCGGTCGTGGATTCTATTTTTAGCAAATGCCTCGCAAAACGCGATTAGCTCTTAAAGCATTTATCTAAAATGCTCGAGACGTCCGTTATCTCAGTCATTATTCGTTAAATTATTCGATTGCGTGCGGAGTTTTATTTGACAGTGCTATAACGTGGCTCTGATATATCCATATATCTCTGACACCATCGCCGCGACTTCAGTCGGTACATTTCACTTTCAGTTAACCGCAACCCTGCTGATATATTTCTGCAACCCCTGACGCTCAACACGATTCCGAAGGGTTGCTGTCAACCATCGTGATTGCATCGTGGGAGATAGGAAAACTATGCAGGGTAGAGAAACTATGCAGGCCACGTCTTAGACGATACCATGCAGATAGGCTCGATAATTGTTGGGATATTGTTATCATTCAGCCAAGATTATTCGCGAACATTCATGGCGAATTCATGGTTCAACGAATATACGGGATTTTCCAACGGGCTAGGTTTTAGTTTTTTAATTATAAAATATCCCTATGAGCATAATCGTGATGGATGCTCAAACATGATTTTTTTATGTTTAATCAAAGAACAAAATTCTCATATCTCATTTAGAAAACTCTTTGCAAATATCACATCATTTTATATACATATACATACATTGTATATACATAAACATAGTCATGCTAGTTCAAAGTGCAAAGAGTTTATCAGAGCTTATCATATTCAATAGTTTTGGTAAAAAATTATTTACAATCTATAAATGAACAGTAGACAAGTTCTCGTTCTATAAATTATCTATCGAAATTCTCAATTTTTATATTTTAAAAGGTCGAAAGGTTTATAATTGGTTTGTTTTCGAGAGTACAAGTTTTTCGTCCTTATCTATTCGTATATTCATTCGTTTACTAGTTATTGAAATCAGTTTGTGCAAGGTAGTTGCTATTCTTCAGTTAAAAATGAACATAAAAAATTAATTATGTATTTCAAAGAAGGATGGCGTTTTCGTAGATAATTAGCATTACTTGTCGTGAATAGTATTATTCGAACAAAAAACCACCCTGATAAATGAAGAAATTGCAAAGGTCTGAGTTCGTTACAATCATATAAATTCTATCGGTGGAGAATTTTAATGCTTTCATATCGAACTTTATTTCCAACTTTCTTGCCTTTTTCGCGACGGTAAAAGCGAAATAAAGGAATCCAGTTGTACAGCGATAAAAGCTTAATTTCCTCGGTGTTACACACTTTTCAAAATATAACTCTGTCGCCCTAGGAAGAAGGAAATTATACTTTTCGAGTTGTTAATTAGTTTAAATTAAAAG